TGTGTCCTGGGTTTGTGCATGTCCTGGATCTGTGTGTGTGTCCCACATCCATGTGTGTGTCCCAGGGCCGTGTGTCACACAAGGCAGTCTGAGCAGGGCCAGGGCCATGATGGGTGCCTGGAGCGCAGCACCAGGGTCACGAATCCTGTGGATTCCGTCTGTGTGTTGCTTTGTCAGCACTGACAGCCCAGGCACCTCCCAGGCTCGCAGCACCTGCACCCCTGGAAGCTGCTCAGCCCTGGCCAAGGGGTGACAGGGCCACCAGTGTTGTCCCCACCAAGCTCCGGAGCAGCCGGGGCAGCGTTGAGAGTGCAGGGCCACCCAGGCAGGAGCACAGCCAGGGCCTTGCTGGCACAGAGACATGACAGCAGGATGTGCCCCTGTGCCACACCCACAGGGGCCTTGGGCACAGAAGAGCCAGTTAAACACAGGGATGTCTGTGGTGCACGAACTTGGCTAATGGCGATGGATTAGTCCTGGAACATAGGGATGTGTGCACTGAGAGCCAACCGTGGGTGTGAGCTGAGAGCAAAAAGCCCCTGAGGATGCACTGGGGGAAAGAAAAGTGCTGTGCTAAAAGTATAATCAAATCAAATAAAAACCCTCCCCCAGGCTTCCCCCGTCCCTGCCCAGGTGGGAGCTGCCCTGCCAGGTGAGGAGGGACAGAGCCAGTACCAGCAGAGAGCTGAGTGCTGAGCAAGCACAAAACACCCCAGCACTGAGGGACTTAGTTTACAAGTTTTTTTAATTTACAAATAAAAAAACCTACACCTTTTACTTTTTCTCCTTTTTCTCTTCTTTCTTGCCATCGCTCTTCTCCTTGTCCTTCTCCTTTTCATCTTTCCTCTCCTTTTTACTTTCTTCCTTTTCCTGTCCTTCCTTCTTCTCTGCATCCCTGTTGGCAATCTTGTTGTTGATGAGGTTGTGCAGGGCTACGACGGAGCGGATGAGTGAGGCCAGGTACACCACCACCATCTGGTCGTTGGTCTTCAGGTAGAAGGCCTTGACAAACTCCTGCAGGTTCACATCTGGGAGCAGGTTGAACACGTCCTGGAGGTGGTAGATGATCTGGTGGTTGATGGGCAGTTTGCCCATGGCTACTTTCTCTAGGTAGCTCCTGATGTCCAGAAGCTTGGAGTTCAGTCCCTTCAAGCCATGGACCTGGTTTGTGATCCGCTGGGACAGCGTTCCCACCGTGGTGTCCTTGATGTCCCTAGAACCCAGAGAGAATCAGGATTAGAACCTCCCCTTGCACATGGGCACAGTCCCTTGAGAGCTTTCCAGCTCAGAGCAGTGTGAGCACAGCAGAGAGAGGACAGGAATGAACCTCCCAGAACTGTGTTTAACAATCTCCATGTTTTTCCAGCCCCAGGAAGCTGGATGGAGCAGGGCACTACAGTGCAGGGCTCCCCCACACCTCCACACTCACCGTAGCAGGTGTTCCACCCCAACTTCCTCGGCCTCCTCTGCTCCAATCTCGCTGGTCACGTGCTCAAAGGTCTTGGAGGTCGGGGTGCCATCCTGCCAGGAGACACATCATTGAACGTGGAATTTTAGCCAGAGCATGAGGGACTGTACTAATGAAACGAGCAAAGTAGTTCCAGACAGGCCACAAGGAATCTGAGGAATGGCTCTAGTTGGAGTTTCCTTGATTTCATCAGTGTCACCCACTGTCCCAGCAATTTCTCGTGCTCTGGATAATTTCCAATTACTGCATTTTGCTGGTCTGTGCCCGGGTGGGACAAATGGAAATTCTCACTAAATATCACAATTACTTCTCTCTTCCCTGATCCAACCTCATTGCATTTTGGGGGAGCAGCTTCTGCTCCATAGCAAAGGCCTCAGAAAGGCAAAAAGACCCTATTTTTTTATATACAACCAGAATTAATTTATATTAAACAATTACGGCTGACTCACTGCGGGGTGGTGTTTGTCTGCACGGGGCTGCAAGTGACGAGTTGGTGTTGCTCAAGCCTGACCCACCTCCTCAGCACTGGCAGGTGCAGAATGGGCACACCTGGACACACCTGAGCACACATGCAGGCAAACAACACCTACAAGTGACATCCTAAAAGTGCTCCCATCTGTGACTCTCTTATTTTACATGGTAAATACTCACATCATGAACTTCTTCCACAGAGATATAGGCTTCTGTGGGCAGCCCCAGGTCCTTTGGCTTCACGTCAATGATCACCAGCACCTGAGGGAGAGAGCAAATGCTTTGGAAAACTGGATTTCAGTCAAAGAGTAGAGAAAAAATACCTGAGTCAGTGCTTCCCTCCTCAGCACTGGCATGGGGCTGCTCACTTCGGGCACTGAGACAAGACTTTGAGTCCAAAGACTCTTGATCCCACTTCCACAATCACTTCACAGCCACCATGTTGTGTCACCACAAGGGCGGGGGCGAAGGGTTCCCAGATGCCCCTTTTAGGGTAAGAGAAAAACAACCCCAAAGCAGGTCCCACTTACAGAGTTGGGGCAGTATCTCTTCATCAGTTCATTGATGGCGATGTCATTCTTGTGCAGTTTCGGGCCTGTGTGGTACCACCCCACAATTCTTTCTCTAGCTGAGCAAAAGCAGAAAAGGATTAAAAATCAGAACTGTGGGGAGACCTCAGCAGAGAGATTTGGATCAGCAAATCGAGGGTGAAAGTCTGATCTGTGTAAAGAGGGGGAAATTAATTACAAGGCACTGGCTTCGCCAGAGACCAAGAGCTCCCCAGTTGCACTCACTGCCCACACCTATAACTTCACTCCAGGCTCCTGAACTCAGCTGGATATTTAATTTTATTAATTAATATTATTAATTTTATAGCTATCAGGATCTGACAGCTTGGACTTCTGAGATGCAAGTCCCCATCCCTGGAAGTGTTCAAAAACATGTGGATGTGGCACTTGGGGACATGGTTTAGTGATGAACACGGTGCTGGTGCTGGGCTGGCGGTTGGACTGGGTGATCTTAATGATTCTGTGATTTTATGATTAATATGAATTCACTTTTCCATAGTCACAAAAGTTTTTTGGAGCATATCCCAGACTGCCAGAAGAGCTCAACTCACCATTGACCTTCTTAAACATTCCATACATGTTCTCCAGATAGTCGTGGTCTAGGAACCAAACAGTATCATCCTTGTCATCCTCATCAAAAGGTACTGGGAATAAAACAAAACATCAGGATTTAAGAATCCAACTTCCAGAATGAATGTGTTTATTGAAATGTCGTGTTTTGGTTATTTTTGGCTGCCAGAGGAGAGTGGGATTTAATTGGGAGTGTTTTTGAAAGCCGTTTGTATTTGTTGTTGGATATGGGCTGATTTGTAGAGGGAGGAAACAATCTGTGCTCTGCCAGGGTGGCTCAAAAACTCCAACACAATCTACCTGCGAAAGAATTCAGTGGGTTTGGGAGGGGCAGGACGCCCAAACTCACCTGCAAAACTGTTGGATACATCCAGGATCTTTTTCTGCCATGATCCCAGCAGCACCCCGACCACTCGCTTCTGGTTTCCCACTTTTCCTATTCTAAATGGACAAAAGACTGTCAGTCCCTACCTCAAAAAGGCGAAGGAAGGAACGGGGCCTCGTGTGCGCAGGGTAAACAGCGAGTGTTGGGAGAGAAGGTGTTGTGGTTGTGGTTGTTTTATCACTGATGGTGTTTTGCAGACAGAAAAAGGAGTTTCGGTGCCCTCGGAACTGAACCCGGTCCCCCGGGGAGGGGAGGAGGGTCCGATGTCACCAACGGGGGCCGTGACCCCACACGGGGCTGTGAACAGCGACCGGCTCCTCATCCCGTGTCACTCACATCGCGGCTCGGCCACCGCCGGAGATTTGGGGCTTTTTTTCTGACATTAAAACCGCTCGGCACCGGCGCGAGGGAACGAAATTAGGCCCGAATTACCCGGGGAGTCGGAGGCACCGGGTCTCCTCAGGGCCCTGGGTCCCTCCCGCTCCCCCGGCTCCCCTCCCGGCCCGGGATAGCCTTGGTTTGCCCGGCCCGGGGCCCCCGACAGCCCTGTGTCCCCACATGCTCCCCCGGGTCCCCTCATGGTCCCGGGTCCCCTCACGGTCCCGCTCTCCCCGCTCCCCTCCCGGCCCGGCCGTGACTCAGCGCCGGGGCACCGCTCCCGCCCGGCAGCACCTGTTGAAGTGATCGACGACGCTGAGCAGCACCAGCGGGTGCACGACCACCCTGTCCACGGCCAGCTCCGGCATAGCTCCCGCTCCGCCGGCTCCGCTCGGCCCAACCCCGCACCAGGCCCGACTGCAACCCCGCGCCTTCAGCCCGCCCCCCGCGCCCAGCCTGCCCCGCGCGGGGCGGGGCCGCCATCTTGGGGAGGGCTCTGGGCCCGCCGCCATCTTGGGAAGGTGCGCTCGCCATCTTGAGAGGGTACCGCCGCCATCTTGAGAAGGTGCGGTCGCCATCTTGGGAAGGCTCTGCCGCCATCTTGGGGCAGCGCCGTGGCCCCGCCCCGAGGTGAGGGAAAGGGCGGGAAGGGGGCGGCCCTGGGCTGAGGGCTCCGGCCGCGTGCTGGGATTCCTTCCCCTCCATTCCCCTTTCCCTTTTTCCTTTTCTCCCCGTTTGTCCCCCCCTTTTTCTCTCCCTTTCATATCCCTTTCCTCCCCTTTCCCTTCACCTTCCGCCCTTCTTTCTCCTCCTTTTCCTTTCCCTCCCTCCCGTTTTCCTCTTTTCCCCTACTTTTTTCCTCCCTTTTTTCCCCTTTCCTCCCCCTCTTCCTCTTCCCCCCCTCTTCCTTTTCCCCCTTATCTCCCCCGTTCCCCTTCTTCTCCCTCCTTTCCTCCCACTTTTTCTCCCATATTTCCGCCCTTTCCCCCTCCCATTTCCTCCCCTTTTCCCCCTTTCCTCCCTCTCCCCTCCCCTCCCCCGAGTGGTCCCAGAATCCCCCCAGGACGGTGTTTTTGGGGCTCTCAGCCTTCCCCAGCCCCCTCGGCTCCCCCTGTGGAACTTTAGGATGCTTTTGCCTTTCCCAGGTGTAAGAGTCTCCATGACCTCTCAGAAAGTGAGGAATCCCTCAGGATGATGCTGTGGCAGTCCCAGCCCTGCCACAAAACAGCAGGGCCCAAAAGCCATTTGCTCTCTGACAGAGAGAAAACTGCCAATTCGAGGTTTAATCCTCCCCTTCCAGGTGTGCTCCTGCCCCTGCGACCCGGCCTGGAAAAGCTCCATCACCTCCTGCCCCTCGTCCCAGAGCCTCAGAGACGTCAGGGACCCCGGTGCCTCAGCGATAAAAGGCCACGAAAATAGGTAGAAATCTTTATAAGTGTTTGGTTTCTTCCCAGGGGTCCGTGTCAGGCAAAGCCGTCATCCCTCAGCCTCTCGGAGTTTGTGAGGGTTTTTCCTCCCAAGTTTCCTCCGTGTAAAGGAGACACAGGCTCAGGTGAGACTTTGGAGAAGGATTTTTGCACCTCAAGAGCAGAAGCTGACACAGAACTTGTCTTTTATACTTTTATTTCTTGCAAGAAAATACTACCTGGGGCTGTTACTCTTGAGTCTACATGGAGGAATTATTAATATGAAAAATATTATCAAAGTTGTTGACGATAATTCACAGTTTTAAAGCATTGATACCTCTTGTTTTCTACACTTTCCCCACATTTTTTGCATATTTCTATATATAGGTAATATTTTGGTATTTCGAAATACCAAATGGTATTTTGGGCGAAATTGAAAGTTTTGTGGTTTTGTTCAGCATCTTAAAACTTCACAGATTTAGGCAAAAGCAGCATTAATTTACAAGCCCTGCAGCATCTGAGACCTCTTGTGGAGTTTTCAGTCGTTACATCCTTTACTGTTGCTGCTTTAAAAAGAAAGAATCTGGTGGAGTTTCCAGAGGTTTTTTTTTCCCAGCAGAGGGGGATATCTGACCGTGGGATTCGAACACCCCCAGTGCTCTTGTCGCTTGTTTTATCAATATACATATAAAACTCAATGTTCAAATTAACTAGTTCAATAAGTAATTTAGCTCATTGATTTTCGGGCATATCCTAAGTGCCATTACAAGCTACGGATATTTTAAATGCCATTACCTAATAGAAGGAATGTTTTAAGCACCTTTTATTGATTTTATTACTGCTTTATTTTGCTGTCTTGGTTTAAAAAATCATTTTAACCACTCTGTCATCGAGAAGAAATATATCGTTGGTGAAAAACAGTCAATTTCCTAAAAACCTTTGACATCGTTAAATAAGGGATTACAGTTGTTAAATCATGTCGGGCAGTGCTGGAGGGACAACGAGGGATGAGCTGGGGCCGGTGGGCAGGGCTGTGCTGACCTCTGCCACCCCTGCTCCGTGCGGGACAGTCCCGCTCCAGGGCTGCTCCGGGCTCCTCCAGCACTCACAGCGTGCCAGGAGTGCGTGGGAGGATCCCCCAGCACAACCCAGAGACAATTACGGGGCATTTTAGTGACCTGCTGTGGCTTTTCGTTGAAATTAACTCCCTAACTTGGCGCGTTTGAAGTTTGATTTGCTGGATTGTGTTGCTGGGAGTTGGGTGTATTGATGTTGTGCACAAAAGGAGTAAATTGAGGCAGCTCCCAGGGATTTCAGTCCCTTCCCAGCTCTGAGCAGATTATCAGAATTATTGAGCTAATCAGCTGGCAGATGCAGGCTGGGGATCCCGGCAATGCGGCGCTTAATCAAAGAATTGAAAAGTAAGTAATGAATGTTGGTGCTCAATAAAAGGCAGCTAATGAGGTGATTGAGCTGTGGAGTGGCAAACATCAATACTGAGGGATGATCCAGCTCCAGAGTGCTGAGCTGGAACCCAGAGGTGAGAGGTTCTGCCCTACACGAGCAGCGGCACCTCACCTGGTGTGGGCAGGGAGGGAGGGAGCTGCATTTTGCTCTTTAAGTGGAACAACTGATTCCATCAGTAATTCTTGGGCTTTAATTTTATTAAAAAAACCCCAACCGATACCCCCACACAACCCCCAAACTTACACAGAACTGTTTTCAGAGGTTTAAGAATGGTTTCCAAATTTAAAAATAAGAATAAATCATCATGAAGTAGTTTAAAAATCAAATTAATCATTATAAGTGTTAAATCAGCCTCTAAGTGCCTTGATAAGCCCCAGGGGGAGTGGGGAGGGGGCTGTGGCTGTGACTATGTCTTGGTCAGGGGGTACCACGAATGCACTGCAAAAGGAGGTTTGTTTGCACCAAGTGAACACGAGGAACCTGAAACTTTCTTTGGAATCCACTTTTGCCCTGATTCTCTTCCTTGGTTAGGTGCTGTAGACTCTCCTCAAGTGCCAGGTTGTTCTGACTGGTGACACAGGGGGCACCTTTGTGTTCTTTCCAGTGATGAGAGTTAGAAAAAGATCCAGGGGAATAATCCGTGCAGCTGGGCAATATTGATATGTGATACTTTGGATCCTAATCCTAAATTATGCTTATTAATGTGCTCCTTTAATACTGGTTGGTTTTGTTTTTCAGGAAAAACCTTACTTAATTTTTCCTAGATTGGGACTGAACACTTAGACACCATGTCCACTAACGTGTATTTTTCTTAAGGTGCCTTCTAAAATGTGTTTAAATCCATCAGGAGAAGCTGGGCTTTCTCCAGACCTGTTGATAGTTTGGCACATAATACCTTTGTGCTCCCAGTTTGAACAGGAAATATATTTATTTCCCTATAAATATGTTTAGCTTTGTCCAAATAACTGTAGTTTCCTGTTAAGATTTCCTTGTCCAAGGTGTGCCATAAACTAGTTTAGAAGGAACGGTGCTGCCTGGAATTGAGCAAGGATAATGCAAGCCATGGAAGCAAAACAGAAAGCCACCATCACATTAATTGTGATTTATTTTGGTTAAAGTGTCATTCAGTGACATGCTGACACTGTCAGTACATGATGGCCTGAGCCAAACTGCAGTTTCCTTCTGAACACCTCCAAATAACTATTATTTACCCCAAATATCTGTTCTACGATGTCATTTCTAAAGCAAATTATTAAATCTGTCATTATAAATAGATCTATTTGCTTGCTGATATAAGCTTTACATATTTTTGTAGTAATAATTTATTTCTTTGTTTCCTTATAGAGTGCTGTTGCTTGACCAAAGCTCTGTGTGTGCGTGTGTATGTATATATATAAAAAATTAAATATATGTGTATAAAGTAGAACTCATGTTACTGACCACAACTGGTCCATTTGTGAATATTGCTGTAGTTTCTGCCAAGGGATTTAAGGCCTTTTGTACCTGTAACAGGTGACTGGGATAATCTTGCCCTTTCTCTAACAGTGGAATTTTGATAACTTCGGATGTCAAATCATCAATTTCTTTAGTTAAAAACTGGAAGTATTGTCAACATGTCATATCAAACTATGGGAAGTATTTCATGTTTTATATTCTATGCATCCGATTTTGTTGCCCTGTCCAGACATCACAGGGCATAGAAACACCAGAAATAAGGGGGTTTAATAACTAAGTCCCGACTCTAATTTTCTATTTCAGTACAGAGTGATTTCCTTATGTTATTCTGGTCCCTTCGCTACAAAATGATTAAAAAAAAAATGGTGGAAACAAACAGTTAAAAAAAGCAAGCACAACAGGTTCTAGTCATAGTCATTTTTCCACACCTTGAGGACTAGCAAATTCTTTAATATGAGATTTTATTTGTACAAAGCAAAACTTCAAACCCACTCCAAAGCTTTCTTATTAAGTGCTGTCAGTGCGGTGATTTACAGGGGCAATAAAGATCTGGAGGGGGCACATTCATCACGGGGTTCAGCGCACCAGGAGCCATTTTCTGCAGCGCTAAAGCCAAGCGATAAAATGAATTCTTTTGTTCTATAACCAAGACACATTCCCTGGGTTTGGTTTTTTGTTTTTTTTTTTTTTTTTTTTTTAAATGTGTGTTGGACTCCTTGGCTTGTAGCTTGGCCATGTTCCTGTAACGCATTTATAAATAATGAAAAATTGCTCTCATGCAGATGTGATGATGCATCTGGCAAACCCCACTGTCTGAAAGACAGGAACTTGCTTCTACTTTGGCTTATTCACTAAGTTTTCTCCAGTGTTGATTCTTGTAGTTTTTAACAGCACTTTTCAAACTAGATGGTTTGAGGGGTTTTGTTTGGTGTGGTGTTCTTTTTTTATTATTTTTTTAAGGTGATTCTATACCTTTCTGCAAAGCTGAAAGAGTTCTGGTTAGGAAGTAATAAAATGTATTTAAAATAGAGAGCCATGCTCATGGAGTACAGTGTGATTTGGAAAACTTCCCTTGCTTCCTCTGTTTCTAAACTCGTGTTTGAGTTACTTTGGGGGGGCTGCTCTGTAACGTGTGTGGAGAGAAAAGTTGGGCTTCTTGTCCGGAGCCAGATGTTGCTGTTTGTGTGGGCACTGCCCAGCCCTGCTGGGGGAGGAACTATTGGCCAGAGTCGGTGTCTCTGCGTGTGAGCAACGGGCTCAAATCCCACTGCACAGTGAGAATGAAAAAAGGGAATTCTGGTTTTTTCCCTATAAAAATGCCGCCACCTACGGGCTATGCTTGGAAGTTCTGGGAAGCCCTGTCACACTCAGCTGCGTGGTGGTGTGGCACGGGCACCTCCGAGACAGAAGTAGGAGAACCACGTTGCAAAAAGTGCTTTCCAGTATAATTCTGATTATCTTTAATTGTGAATGTAAACCTGTGTGAAGTTTTGGCAACGTTTTGGTTTCAGTGGGGCTGCTGCCATAACCTGTGCCATGGGCAGGGACACCTTCCACTAGACCAGGTTACTCCAAGCCCCATCTAAACTGGCCTTGGGCACTTCCAGGGATCTTGCCAAACCTGTTTATTGATCTTGGGTAAATGCTCTTCCAGCTGTCCAGGGTGTGTGGGACGACCAACTTTGCACTCCCTGTGTCGTACATTCAATAGTGTGGAAGTAGGATTGGTGCTACTGCCCCCCAGCCCTCGTGCCTGGGAAAGGGTGGGACTGAGAAATCGCAGAGTTTGTTTGGCTGACTCGGAGCAGTTACTTAGCCAGAGGGAAGCTCTGCTACAACAGCCACAAACTCCCACCACAGCTCCTGTACTGGCTGCTGGAAAACTAGAGCTTCAGTTGACCCAAAAAAGGGATTTTGCAGATCTCTTTGCTATAATTTTATGTTGGCACTTGAAATTTAGCAAGAAAAGCTGTGGCCTAGGAGGCTTTTTGCAGAGCTGAGTATGTTACTGCTGATACTTTTATTGCAAAACCTTTAGTCTCTGATATTTAAGGTCAGAAACTGTAAGTGTGTGTGTGTGCTATTCTTTTTTAACCCTGGGGCCTCTTATACTGTAGTGTCATGAAAGATCCTAAAGCTTTGAGGGAAAAAAAAATGGAAATACTTCATTTTATGAAGCAGTTTTAGGGTCAGTTTTTCTGAAATGAATGCTTTTATGTTGGAT